AAAAAAACCCCACCCGCAGACACCGAGAACGGCTCCCGGCCACTGCCCAGCGCCCGCTCCCCGGCGCTGGCTGTGCGCCGATCAAGCAGAGCACCTGGGTTTATCAACGGTACCAGCGGAGGGGCTGCCAGTGCCACCCCACATCCCAGCCATCCCCCGCGCGGGCGGCAGGGTCCGGTGTCCCCACTGCCCTCCCTGGGGGGGGGAGCAGATGCTGACGGGACGGGGGAGAGCGTCCCACCCAGCTCCCTTCCCTGGCGGCTGCATTAAACGGGCAGCCTGGCAATACAGCGATGGAGAAGAGCTGTGAGGGAGCTGGGATTAAAAGAGATTTATTTGGATAATAACAGAGCAGGGAGCAGTTAAACTGGCGAGTAACTGGAGCCAGGCCTGCTGCTGGAAAGCCTCAGACTGTCTTTTGCCCTAATTCTTTTAAGGCAATATGGAATTACTGCACATCTTGGGTGCTCTCTGCCTGCGAAAAGCTGGAGGAGGGGTGGAGGTGATGCAGGGGCCACCCCTGCTCCTCCACGCGCCGCCTCCGGAGCAGGAGCCCCCCGAGCGGTGCAGGCACCCCCAGGTATATGTGGGACCCAGCAGCTGTGGGCAAGGGGCCCCGCGGGGTTTTGCACACCCCTGGCAGACGTCCCTCTGCCACTGTGCAGCCCCGGGGATGCACAGAGCCTAAAAGCAGGAGCAAAGGGGGTTTCTGCAAGCCCCTGCCTCCGGGGTGGGCAGCAGAGGAGCCAGCCTGGCTTCCCACGAGGGTGAGCCGATGAGCCTGAAAGCTCCCAAAATCCCCCTGCCATCCCGTGAGACCGGCTCATCGTGGTGATCTGCTCCTGGGGACTGATTTGCTTCCAATCAAGCCACTCCCGGGGCTCTAAGGAGGCCCTGAAATGAGGGCAGCTCGTGGCCAGTGACACGTTTTCAATGGGAACGCAACTTTCCAGCCTCAGGAGAAGGGGAAATCTGGAATTCCCCAGCGAGAGGGGACCAGAGCTGATGCTTCCTGGGTAAGAAACCACAAGTTTCATCTCTATTTGGAGGGACCGCAGGTTTCCTCAGTACAGCCCCTTGCTGCCCACCAGCATTCACTTCTCCAAACCGTGCCCCAGATTCCTCCTCCCAGCTCAGCGCTGAGCCCAGGGCAGCTTTCAGTTCTCCTCTCCCCACCTTAGCTCCGAAGCTGAACTCACCCAGACGATGATGGAGAAGAAGGAGAAGGTGATTGCTGCCCGGGCGGCGTCTGCTCCTTGCGAAACCCCTTTGCTCATCGTCGTCTGTTGCCACTGGTTTGCTAGGAAGCAGAAGGCTACAAACCATAGGAAGGACAAGAAACCTGAAAGAGAACAGAGCTGGTCAGTGCTGTCCCTGCCCACCGCTGCCGCTGCTGCAAGGAGCCCCGTTTGCTGATGCACAAACATGCCGCCGTCAAGATTTTCAAACAGCAACCGTGATCTTGGGTGCCTTGGCCTGTGCTGTGGCCCAAACGGAGCTATTTCAAAAGAGGCTGATTTGCAATCGCCGGGAAAACAGGGATGGAAGGAACCTTGTAGGGTCACCCCGTGTGTTACCTGCCTGAAGCTCAGCTCACCCACATCTCAACCTGATCTCAAAGACCTCCAGGGACAGCACACCCTCTCTGGACACGCGGTCCTCACAGTCTGGGATTTCAGCCTGCTCGCAGGCGTCACGGCGCTACCAACTCAACTCCAGCACCCCAGCGTGTCGACCCACCATTCCCTCTGTTCCCTGGACACCACCGGCTCCTAGAAACTTTGGGCTGGATACTGCAAACCTCACCCAGGAAGGAGCCTGCACTCCTGAGAGCAGCACCAGGCTGCTTGGCTGACGCAGGAGACGGCTTTACAGCTGTTCTGCGACGGGCCATGCCTTGGTCCTACCCAAGGACACAGCCGGAGGGCTTAAAAAAAGGCAAGTAACAATCACCCAGGAATATGGACAGGCTGCGATTAACCCCTGCTCCGAACACGGGGATCACGAGTGACCCTGGGACGTCAATGCATCCCACGAGCGCAGCAAACGAGCAAGTGCTCATCGTGTGCTGTGCCCAGGGCAGGGCCGCGGCAGGGCCGCCCACGGAGCTGAGAGGCACACGGGCTTCACGTGAGAGAGAGCTCTGCTCGTCCCTGCTGCCCTCCGCTGACTGCGCTCCTGTTCTCGGCCTCTCTGGGCTCTGCGGGGTTGAGCAAAAACGCTCCGGTGATTATTCCTTACCGGAATCAAAGCTGGCTGAGCAAGATAGGGCTGCAGCTCCCTTAATTCAATCACCAGCCAACAGCACTGCCTGATGCCAAGGAGCTCAGAAAACAGTCAAGAAGCAAGCCACAAGCGCACAGTGTAAGGAGCGTTGATGCTTTCCAGCGCTGGGAAGAGGGGCTGCACAACCTGGAGCCTTCCATGACGCCGTTTTAAGGGTCTCCAGCTTTCCTGAGCATCCCCAGCACAAAGGTCCCCCCCCACCCACTGATTCTGTGTGTCAGTGCGCGCGTGGACGCCGGGCACCGGCCGGCGGGACGCTGAGCTACCCAGCACCTTCCCAAGGATCATGAGCACATCAGTATGAGCAGCCACGCTGCCGGTGCCATGGGGCAGCTGGCTGCCAAGCACAGTCTGACTGCAGGGAGAAGAAAGAAGCTTCCTTTATTCCCTTTATCTTGCCAGTTGTTCCTAAGTACAATATAAATTGCATGCGTGCATCCACATCCAGTGCGAGAGTTACGGGGCTCATCGCACACCTCGCCTTCAATTCAGAATTTGCTTCTAAACGCAGTTTAAGAAAATGCACTCCTCATCTCCTCCTGTTGCACGATGGGGCCTGGGGCTTCCTAACCAGCGGATGCTTTTGTCTGCCTGGCCATGCTTGAGCCCTTGAACTGCCCTCACAGCAACACAACCTCCAGCCAGGATCATCCAGGCTTTCCTTTTCCAAATTACAGACTAATACAACAGCCCCTTTCTGCTGAATACAGCTACCGCCTGCCACCAAAACCGCCCCAAATCCCTGCATATATATTTTCACTTCCCCTTAGGATGATGCACTTGTCGTCAGTGTTAAACGAGACCTCCGGAGCTTATTCCCCAAAGGTCATCCTCAGGGACAGAGATACTTTCTAGCTCCCCAGCTCTGTTATAACGGGGCTTTACCAGCAGCTGGCCCCCGTTAGGGGAAGTAGATCCAACCCCTAAATGTGGACACAAGAAGATGCATGCCTGAGATACGGCATTGGCTGCAGCTCGGATGACCAGCATGCGGTGAACGTGGTGGGTAGCGGTCCCCCGGCAGGGCTCGGTGCAGGAGATGCTGAACCACATCTCCAGATGCTGCACTACTGAAGCCCTCCCACCTCCGGATACTTGGGGAGCAAATGCCATGGCAGCGGGGAGCACTGCCCTGCCGTGCTCGAGGAGCAAGCCTCAGTCAGGAGTTTCTCGCTCAAATACGCACTTTCCTGGAGACAGCGGTGTTCGGAAGTCGGAAGACCAGAGATGAAACGTAAGAGCAGCTCCTAACAGGCTAATTCGGAGCCGCGCTGTGGGGAGCAGAGGGATGCTCAGGGACAAGCTCTGGGGCCATGCAGGGCTGGCACCAAGGGACGCTGGCGCTCTCCAACAGGACTAGGCTGTGTCACTGGTTTATAGAGGGTGAACTTCCTTGGGGGGGACTGTTTCTTTGTTTAACACTCGATCTAGTACAGTAGGTCCTCCCTCGTACGCTCCTGGGCAGGACACTACCGCAGAGCACGAGTCACAGCCACGACACGGGGGCTGCCCACCGACCAGCAGCACAAAGCCCCATCTACCACTGCTGTCTGGTAAGGGTTTTCAAGAGTTAAAATGACATCATGCACATCCCCGAACGTGCACCGGCTGCGCTGGGTATTGCAGTTACCGGCTTCCTCTGCAACACTGAGATATGCGAGATGCTGACCTTCCCGGTGCCAAAACCATCAGCTTCTTCAGCCAGAAACATCTAGCTGGGGTCGCTTCTGCTGCCACCCATGTGGACCTCCTGGAGGTTTCGCGACGCAAAGACAAGCCTTTCCCCTCCACATCCAGCTCTGCCTGGATCCCCGAGAAGAAAAAGGATTCCCTCCAGTGCCCTGGGGAAGCGGGAAGGCAGGTATCGCTGCCAACGGAGGAGATGGGGTCAGGCATGGAGAGCATCTCCAGAAACACCAGCCAGGCGTTGTTCGAAGTTTGGAGGACCGACACACGCCTGCGTGTGGGATCAGACCTCCCAGGGAGCTCTGTGGGAACTATTTTTGTTTCTGTACCAGCACTTATTTTCGTTTGTGGTCATGTTCACCTTCTGCTAGCGCTCCTTCGAGATGAGGCCTTGCACCCAGTAACGTGAATCGGACACGCAGGATTGCAGCTGACTCCCCTCGCTCCTGGCACCTCACCGGGAACACGGCTGTGCCCTCGTCCGGCACCCGCACGGTCACGGTCCCACAGAGGGGCTGGCAGTGCCTGCATCCAGCCCCCGGTGTATTTGCAGCATCAGGCGTAAGTGGCTGTTTTGGAGGTGTCTGTTGCTACCCATGAATTTTAAAACCTCACGAAGAGGGCTGAGCTGATAGCAGCACGGTGTGGCTACGTGTGCCGGTCCCGGCTCCAGCTGGAAACAGGCACGGTAGCAGCTCTGCACCCTCCAGCACGCTGGGGAAAAGGAGAACGCGAGGAAGCACCGCAAGAGCCAGCAGATAATTATCGTTTTAGGATCCGCAGACAACAGAGTGCAAACACCAGGAAAGACGCGTTACAGCCATAATTACAGCCTGGTCCCAAGCAAGCGCACGTCTACGGGAGCAGCTGTAAGAGCAGATGGAAGAGAAAGTCGCAAATGCCGTTTGCACAGCGCCGTGGCCCTGCCTGCGCCCTTGCCTGCGCCCCCGCGTTATCTCCCGGCGGGCTCGGTGGCTCTGATCTGCCACTGATCCAATGCACAAGTCCTCCTTCCTTCAAGCGAAAGAAAGTTGTGGGTTAACACTTTCATTAACTCCCCCCACAACTGCCAGTTGACATCTGCTTTGCTGGCAGCCGGCATCAGGCTCCTGGGTGACCCGGGCAAAGGGCCAGAAACAACCCGCTTTTCTCACCCCCCCCCGCCCGCCGCCCGGTTTGCAATGCTGCCTCGTACCCGAGCGTGTTCCTCACCCGGTTATTTCCCAGATGCATTTTCAGCTTTTATATCAAAACAAGCAATAATGCAGAGATCACATAAGGAGAGAAAGGATGAAACAGTTGCAAGGAAAAAGGAGGAAACCAAGCATCCCATCCTTAGCGGGGAGCAAAAAAGAAGGGGACAGCATAAGAGAGTCCCACAGGGGAAGTCTCCAGGGGTTACTAACGCCGAGGTGGTTAAACGAGGCAAATTACGTGGGTCAGCTCTGCCTCCTGGCAGGTTGGGTGCCCGAGGCTGCTGGGAGCAGCGCAGGGGGGTACGGTGGGCTGCAACCTCTGCGACTGTGGAGGCTTCACGTGCCAACGAAACGCTGCACTTCACCTCTGCTGCGGGATCCGCCTGTATCGACGCTTATTCCGGGAGCAATCAACTGCCTGGCACTTCCACGTGAGTGGGTGTACAGGCTATGGCAGTAGGGCTGTAGGAAAGCTTTGGGGCAGCAGTAATTTTAGAAAAGTGAAGTCACAGCAATAGGAACCCGATAAAATACACTGACCAATTCCTCCTGCCGGAGCCCAGGCACCCGCACCATCCCCTGGGAGCCAACGAGGCAACTGCACATCAGCAGCGCTGCACCGAATTTGGGCTTAGGAGGAGACGGGAGAAACAGCACTGGGTGGAGATGTGTTCACCGGCAACCATGGACTTTGTTACAAGAGCCCTGGACAACGCTCCCATTTATATCGGCACCAAGCTGGATTTCAGCACAGCATTTCTAGGGTGCCCTGTGGGAAATGCCTCGTTAAGCGGGGAAAGCGGGGATTGTACAAGACCAGCAAGACAGGTAAGGAGCTGCTGGCGGGGAGACGTACCAGGCAGCATTAACAGAGGCAATGCCAGCCTGGAGGGGAGCTATGGAAGACCACGCTTTGCAGACCCCGATAGGTGACACTGTGTCGGTCACAGGCTCGCGTCCACATGATCTGCACGTAAGTGATTGATTTGTTTTACCCGCAAGGAAGTGGCTTGCGTGTTTTCTACCAAGAAGCCCGCAGAGGGGAGGGCCCAAGGGAGCAGGACGTCTCTGCCCAGACACAAGCTGAAGACACGATGCACCTGGAGCACACACATTGACCCAGGGTGATCCTGGGGTAATAAAGTGTCACGGCTGGCAGCACAGCTGCGTTGGGTGGATTTACCAGCACAGACCTCCGGTGCAATACTGCAGCCTGTCCCCAGGGCAGAGCACAACCCTCGCACGGCAGAGGCTCTGCAGGGCAGAACCTGTCTTCTCCGGCTCACTGCTGAAGCCCGTGAATGCAGATGCAATGCATGACAAGTGCAAAAGAGAAATGAGGCAGAGATTGAGAGCGGTACCATCTCACACATGCCTGGCAGGGAAGAGAACGGCTGTTAGGAGGTGGAAGGCAAGAAAGGATCACAGCCTCGCACCGCGACACGCAGCATCAGCCAGAAGATGGATGTGATGTTCCCCTTCCGTTTGAATTGAAGGGTTGCAGGCACCGAGCCCCACGGAAGGGGCTGTAAATATCATCTAACAAGGGCTGGACACTGGCGCTCTGGCACCATGGAAATCAGCTTTCCAGCACGGAGAGAACATCCTTAACAACAGGCAAGTGCAGGGAGGCGATGACGGATGTTTTCGTTTGGGAGCAGAGAGCCATCAGCGACCCTTGTGCTGGATAAATCACCTTCAGACTTCACTAACACAAGAGCCTGGAAATGGAGAACATCAGCTGCAAACTCAGCCAGGCAACTCCCACAGCAGCCGAGTGGAGGACGGCCTCTCCCGGCTCAAGGCATCCTGCCTGCTCATGTTCACATGGATGAGCCCCAGGTCAAGGGGCTCAAGACAGCGCAGAAGATCTGTGCCGGCTCTTGGGAGCCCCAGACCCACCGCACACCGCAGTCCTCGAGGCAGCGAGGGATTACGGTGGTATCTGCTTTGTTCCAAAACACACACGCACAAAGCAAGAACAGACCCACATGTAACTGATGAAACGACATTTGCTTGAGCCAGAAACAGGAGATGTGGGAGGGTGAAACGCCCTGTCTGGACTCTGAAATGCAACCACCAAGCCTCACTTCTCTGGGTGGCCTCACTGAACCCAGCTCAGCAAATGTCTCTGGTTGCAGAAGTGACACAGACGAGCGGGACACCCCACTGTCCCCAGGATGCCACACACCGGCTTCCTCGCTCCTGCCTCTGGTCTCACGGCTGGATGGGACAAGCCATCTGCCCCCCCTGTTCTCCCCAGCTGAGGCAAACGAGTCGTGCCATGCCGTGCGAGGAGGGGGGAGGACTCAAGCGTGGTGCTGCAGGGCACAGCAACGACCCTGCGCTGCCCACGGAGCCAGCGTCACCCTTTGCAAGCACAGCAAAGCCAGAGACGTACCTGAAAAGCCGAGGTCCAGCAGGACGGCCCGTTTGCGGTCCTTCACGCTGCTGATCTGCTGGAAGTAGAGGTCCACGACAAAGAAGAAGATACAGCCGAAGAAGGCAATGATGCCAACGGCGATGCCGTAGCTGCAGGCACTCTCATTCTTGTTGAAGATGCAGAGCAGCTGAGGGTTCTGGCTGTCCGTGTTCACATAGCACTCGTTCACGATGGAGCCAAACACCACGATGGAGAAGATCTGCAGAAGGAAGGACAAAACACAACTTGCTGCTGTTTACATTTAACTCTGTTTTCCAACAGCAACATAATTGGATTCAGTCCTGTCTTTGATTCCATGGCAACATGGCATTCGTTAGACAGATCCCGACTCTCGCATGGTTGGTGGCCCAAAGCAATGGGCTGCTGGATGGTACCTAGGTCCTCCCTCGCTGTGAGCCTCTCTGCCTTTCAGTGGCTTGGTTTGCAGAGTATTTTAAGAGATGCTATTCTCCAGACAGGCCGAGGAGGGAAAAAATAAATAGATGGGCCAGGTCTCTGCACAGTCTTTCTGCTTGTCCTGCTCTCCGCTGTCAGGCTGCGCTCGATAAACCCCCTTGTGTCACTGCGGAGCGGGGAGAAATGAAGTTACAGAGGATTACTGAGCTGCTGAGCAGGCTGAGCCAGGGAAGGACTGGATGCCCGGTGGAGGGGGGACGGGCCACGGCAGCTTGGGGAGGTGGGGAACAGCTCACCTGGGCGCAGCGGGGCAGGGGGAGAGGCTGCCCTGCGAACAACAGGGCCATTTTTGGCTTGGCTTAGCAGGGGTTGAAGGATGCAGCGCCCGTATCCATTATCCAGCGGCCTCGTTACAGCCCTGTGAGGGACGAACACCGCTGGGACCCCAGGGTGTTTCACGTCCCTGCAGGCAGGGAAGAAGCCGGATGGCAGCATGCAGCCGGCAGCGTAGCATTCACGATGCTGCATGCTAAATTAATTCCCTTATCCCTCCGACACCAAAGGCAGCAAGCGGAAGCGGCGGGACCAGCTGCATTATAATTTGCTCCGTTAGAGCCTAGAAAGCGCTGCGCCACCGTTCGGATTTCAAGGCAGAGAGCAGGGAGGGAAGCAAGGCGTGCAGACGCCCCTCCATCAAGCTGTGAACCTCTGATCTCGTCTCTCGCTGCCAGCACCGGCTCCCTGCATCTCTGCACGCCTTCCCACCCCGCCGGCTCGCAGGACACAGCTGGCGGCCACGTATGCAGGCAGGGAGATAAGAGGCTCCTCCAGCACACCCTGGCACGGCGGCGGCCCGGGAGCAGCTGGGGTCTCGGGGTACGGTGCAGCTCCTGCTCTGGATGCCCTGCTATGTCTTCTGCAGTAACAACACGACACGAAGTGTACGAGACCGAGACAGGCGGCAGACAGAGGGGGCAGCTGAAGAGCCTCATGATAAACTGCAGCTGGTGGCCTCTGCAAAGTCACCTGCGTCTCACCCAAAGAGCTGATACCCGGCCGTGGGCCACCTTCTACAGCCCCATGCTCCCCGAAGCGCAATGTTAGCGGAGCTGGGTGAAACGGAGCAGAAGCCACTATGAGCAAACCATTCAGAAAGCTCTAACCACTCTTCAACATAACATTGTGATACACATTTCCTCCCAAGCGCTGGCCAGATGTCTCATCCTTGCCTGCCCCGAAGGATTTCATCCAGATTTCTCTCCTCCAAACTCCTTCCAATGCTGGGGTGAAGCTGCACCAGAGCTGCTTCTGTCTGAAGCTACTGACAGATGCAAGTGTCTCATTAGCAAACACGTCTTAGATAGTGTCCACTAACTCTCCCCCAAGTTGGAGGGGACAACAAAGAAATGGATCTGCAAGGGATTGAATTACTAAAATGTGAAGGATTGGCGAGAGATATTTTTTCTTCTCTGTAGGGTGCTCATCAATGATGAGCAGAAGCAGCAGAGCCTCTGGAGTACATCCTACCTTAGGTGTGCAGGAGCTCCTGCAAGCAGCTATCCCAGCACCCCAAGCCCGGGACTTTGCCACCAGCTTCTCATGCCGATATCTGCAAGCACGTGATGGACGAGCAGGTTGCACCATGCTCACGCCCACCTCCAGAAACCCGCCAGCAAGACAACCGAGGGCAGGGCTCACCTTTAAACCCTTTTAGCCAGGAGCTCTGTCAGTGACAGCAGACTCCTATTGCTTCTAGCACTTCAAATTCAGGCCAGCAGTAAGCTGGCCTGTGTCGGGGGGTGGAGATGCTCTGAGACCCGCTTGCTAATTAAGCTGGCATCCCTGAGCTACCCGAAGATGTGCAGGAGGAACAACATGTTGTATCCAGCCCGGAAACCCTCACGCTGCAGTTTGGCAAGGCTGCAGGGAATCACACAGCCAGGCTCTCCTGAAATGCTCCATCACTGCAAGGAAACCAAAAGCGGGGGTCCCACTGCGGGGCGAGAAGGAGGGCAGAGCTCGCCCCCAACACCCGGCACTGCTGATGGCGGTGGCTGGAAAGGGCGGCTGTCCTGCCCTGCACGGCCGCTCGGCCGGGAGCGAGCGACGTCCTGCAAAATCCCCCAGGGATTCACCTGCGGGTCTCGGCAGCAGCTCTTTGGGGCTCTTTCCACCAAAACACCTCGTGTACCTCCCATCGCTGCCCTAGACCTCACTGGCTCCATGCTGGCCCCTTCTCTCCACGGCCTGCTTAGCCAAGGGGATCAGTATCTCCACCCCGGCAGAGGCGAACACACGTCCCTGTCTATGCGACTGGCAGCAGGAGTGGGTTTCTGCCCTGGAAACACTCCTCAGCCCCAGGAATTAGCCCGTTCTTGAATGACGCCCTCCTAGAAATGTGGGTTTCCAAATGTGCATCTGCAAAATTCAGGCGCAACCTTTGGTTTCCCCTGGAGCGTTAACAGGGGATAGAAAACACGTATGTCCTGCGGACCTCTCCACGGCTGGCACAGGGAGATAATCAGACCTTCCTCCTCTCCGAATTTAACCACTACCCGGGGTCCTGCTCCCATCCATCCAGGGCTCAGCTCAGCTCCGAGCACCAGCCAGGAGCTCGACGGCAACCCGAGTCACCTGCTTGTATTTGCACCCTCTTCCTCGCTGGCGCTGCGCTTCCAGAGCGCTCGGCTGTCACACCGCGACGGGCACATCATCATCATGCAAAGAACAAGAGGGTTGCATTGTAAAAAAGAAACAACAACAAACAGTAATAATAATTTTCCCAGTGCTTTGGCAGCAGCTGTAATATCAGCAGTTGTAAAAATCTGTTCATAAATAATGCAAAATTGTTATTTACCATCAGAAATAGCAGCAGCATTTATAAAACAGGCCCTGGAAGAAATAATGTGATTCTGGAAAGCATGAATAATTGAGAACCTCTGATTCCACGGGATTATTTCTCTGGCAGGCCAGCGAATTCATACTCAGCTTCTCCGATAAGTGTTTTACTTAGTCCTCCCAGGATTAACAACCTGGACTACTTCTCTGTGCCAGTTTCAGTGGGCGAGGGAGGGCTCCCGTAAATACGATGAAGGACGTTACAGGACAGGGTGTCTGGCCGCCTGCACGCAGGTTTGCACACCTGGGGCTGTCGACGGAGGATGCGCTTCTGGGGTGGAGATGGAAAGAACAGACATTTCACTCCGTAACTTCAAACTCCGGAGGGTTTTGCAAAGCAAAGCATCCTTCTTGTGGCTGGACGGCCTGAACAGCTCACCCCTGCCAGACCCCCTCGGCCGGGCGCTGCCCGCAGCGTTTTGATGCAGGCAACACGGGACACGTGGCTTCTTCTCGGGATGCCAAAACAGTTAACGAACTGCAAGCGCACGCATTTGATAGATGTGCTCAAAACATCAGCGCTGGCTGAAATACTCCTGTCAAAACATGCTTTTCAGTTAAAACAAGTCTTTCCCCTCCCCCCATGATGGAAATTTTATAGTTGTTCTTAAGAAAAACAACTGGTGCTGGTAAAACATTGTAATGAGAATATCTTTGGCGTTGTCTTTCTAAGTATAGGTGAAAAAAATATTTTTGAGAAAGTGTGGGTAGGCGGGGGAAAATAAAACCCATACTTTTAAAAAAGTTCATGCAAAACAAGTGCCATTTTCCAATCATGTCCACAAACCGCACTTGCTCAAACCCAGAACCAGTTCATCAGAGACTTGAAAGCAAAAATACAAGGTCAGATTTTCCACTGTGAGTGACAGTTTACGGGTCCTGAGCAAGGATGCAGGAATCCTGCTTTCCAGAGGCGCTGCTCCGACTCCCACCTCCTCCTGCCTGTCAGGTCGGGCCCCAAAACCACAGTCCCCGTGACCAGGCATGGCAGTGACAGGACTCGGGACCAAGTGCCAAGGTCACTGGCACGCACAGCACAGGGGCATCTGCTGCGCGAGCCGCCGCATCCCAAGCCCATCCACCTTTCTAACGGGGGTCCTCCATATCTCACAGGCTTTGCAAAGGAGCCTGAGCATTCACAGGACGCTCCATTTTCCAGCTGAACAACCCAACACAACCAGCAACAAATTTTGCTCTCGCTGGGTGAACTGGTGCAAGACGCAGTAAGAAAACTGGATTACCTCCAGCCACCCCAGTATGAAATTGCATCCCCCCTGCCAAAGCTTTCACAGAAATCTGCTTGCAGCTCGGTGTCTCCTGGCCAGCAGCCTGGCGTGCGGGTTGCTCAGCCCTGCCTCTCCCTGGTGTCAGAGAGCGGCTGGGAGCCCCCGGCACACGGCTCCGGCAGCTCCGGCGGCACAGACCATTAGTGCTCCTCTCCACATTCAGCTGCGGGGAGGGATGGGAAGGAGGAAAGCTGTCTTCTCCCATCCCTTCCATTAAGACTTGCACTTCAGCCACACAAAGGAGCTTCTGTGCCTCAGTCACACTCTGGGAGGGAGAACAACACCGGTCAGGGAGATGCATGAAGCGCTTTGAACCAAAATGACACAGCTCAGCTGCTCGTGCAAGCGCAGATGGAGCTCACATTACACTAAACCAGTGAGAAGCCAGGGACCTCACTTCTTAATGAAAGCCAGCTGCCTAGTTCCCCCAGTTTAAAGCTTGCTTCCAAGCAAGAGGGGACAACTCGCCAGGCCAGCGAGCCTTTCTGTAACGCAGGACAAAGGGACAGGTCTCGGCAGCGATCGGTGATGGGGTCTGGGTATGCCGGCCACGACGGACTCTGGAAAATGGCTGGTGCAAAGCCGACACCAGAGGGGTTTTGACTATCACCCTAAAAACCTGGGGGAGCACCCCAGGGACGCTGCTTACCCGAGGCTGGAGGCTGCGTCTGGGCAGGAGCCTGCAGCTCCAAGGTTGGCTTTGGTATCCAAAGTGCTGGACCCAGATGCACATCTCACCCGCTTCCCTTGCTTGCTGCCCACCTCCCATTTTCCCCACTCACCCTATTTTAGGCAAGACCTCTTGCCTCATTTGGCCTCTTTGGCAATGGGTGTTAAGCGCAGGGGACCGTGACCGAGTGCCCAGTGCCCTGTGCTGGTGGACGCCCTGGCAGGGGCTGTGCTGGAGGGGCAGGGAGGTGACGGCGCATGGTGGGCAGGCTGCCGGCAGCACAGACACGCAGCCAGCCCTGCAGCAGGAGACCAAGTGAAATCTCATTCTTTTCCCCCAAAAAAAGGAAAGGGGGAGCCTGGGAGGGCAGGTTCCTTGCTCGGCAGTGTCCAGGCACTCATGCCCAGGGTGCTGGACCCGGAGCCGCTGTCAGATCCTCGCAGGAACCCAGGGCGCCAGGGACGCCTGTGTGTCCCATGATGGAGACACCATTTTAGGTGTGCATAAAGCTGGGAGACCTGCGGCTGCCTTCTCTACACCAGATTTTTACCATCTGGAAGAGGGTGGCTGGCCAGGCTGTCTGGCTCAGTTCTGTAATTATACTTTGCAGACCCATGTTCCCTCCCAGGGCTTGAGCTGGC